GCAACAACAACAAGGATACGGATTATATAGAGGATGATACTAATATTCAGAATGCCACGACAATGTAAACCGCTGTTCAAACATAGACAAATAAGGTCACAGACTGGAGAAAGAAAGGTTGTGGAATACCAGAGGATGTAGGCGGTGAATGTGAATGTCGTGGTCGTGTGAAATACGTGGCAAAATAAAATAAAAATAAGAAGGGAAAGAAGTATTGGTTGCATTGTGTTCTCTCAGCTGGGTTGTTTAATCATGAAGCTCTCATCGTCCTCCTAGACGACATCATCAGCACTAACTTCAGTATGAAGTGAGCTGTCAGTATCTATCCGTGAGTGTTTTAGTAACTTGCCTTGATGAAGTGACCTATGATTGGTTATTTCCTTTGATTGTTGTGTCATTGATTGTAGAGATTTCCTGTTGGCTGTCCCACTGCTTGACCTCTGATTTTTTTTGTCATTTATCGTCTTTCTTATTGGTTGATAGATTGGGTCTATGTCTATACATCTATTGATTTCTGACTGACTGACTGACCTGAATGCCAAGCTTCTAGGAATTCTCTGAGTTTCTTTGTGTTTCCTCTCTCCGTCCAAAATTTCTACAGAGTTCAAATTGAATTCATGTCCATAATTATCCACATGCATTGAAATGAGTGATGAAATGTCGTGGCATTTAATAGCCAATTGGTGTTCATGTAGACGAAGGCGAAGAGGACTACCACTTTATCCCATACACTTGGAAGCCAACACACACTGACCAAGTCCTCAACTACAGTAGCAACAACCCACAAGATCAGTTGCGTGCAGACTCTATTCAGAAGAGCGAGAACACACTGCAGCACAACAACTTCATGGAAAAACGAAGAAAATTACTTAATATCCACCCTAAAGAAGAACGGCTACCCACGAAACTTTATTAGAAAATGCCTATCCCGTGGATCATCAACTACAAAGTCATCGACAGAAATCAACAAACGCATCGTCCTACCATACATTAAGAATATATCAGAAATCACAACAAGATTACTGAGACCACTTAGAATCGGTGTGGCTCATAAACCAACAAATCCCCTGCAAACACTATTATGCAGACCAAAGGATACAACAAACAGAGAAGACAGACAAACCCAATATCATTTACAAAATCAACTGCAATAACTGCAGTCAGCACTACATTGGACTAAGCGGCCGCCCTTTTCGCCTTCGTCTACATGAACACCAATTGGCTATTAAATGCCACGACATTTCATCACTCATTTCAATGCATGTGGATAATTATGGACATGAATTCAATTTGAACTCTGTAGAAATTTTGGACGGAGAGAGGAAACACAAAGAAACTCAGAGAATTCCTAGAAGCTTGGCATTCAGGTCAGTCAGTCAGTCAGAAATCAATAGATGTATAGACATAGACCCAATCTATCAACCAATAAGAAAGACGATAAATGACAAAAAAAATCAGAGGTCAAGCAGTGGGACAGCCAACAGGAAATCTCTACAATCAATGACACAACAATCAAAGGAAATAACCAATCATAGGTCACTTCATCAAGGCAAGTTACTAAATCAGTCACGGATAGATATTGACAGCTCACTTCATACTGAAGTTAGTGCTGATGATGTCGTCTAGGAGGACGATGAGAGCTTCATGATTAAACAACCCAGCTGAGAGAACACAATACAATCAATAAAATCCACCTGAGTTACAAATATTCTCCACTATTTCATTAGGGAAAGAAGTACATTTTAAACTTCATACGTTAGTTCATTCAATAAGTTTTCTCTGATCAAGGCAGGCACAAAAGCTGTACAACTTTTTTCTAAAATACAGAGCTCCGGACTTTTATAGCCTCAACTATGTGTTTAAGGTGAATTTAGAACTCCATCGGAAAGGTTTGGTGGAACGGAGTAAATCACATCGAACGCTTTAGCCTTATCAACTCTGTGATCACTATCAATTAGATGTGACGAAATATAGCTTCTTAGAGAATTAACCTATCCTTTTTCCAACCATGAAGATAGGTGTTCGGTAATATGTTAGTTAAATTGCATTGTCGTATACCCGATATTAATGTTTCCACAAGAGCAATTAAACTGGTAAATACACATGTGAGTAACTTTCCCTTCGTTTGACATGAAACAAATCGTCGATTAGAAAATGATCTACAGGGATTAGCTGCATTAAAAATTCTTTTAATGGTTCTTGACAGCCTGTGGAATAGAATCTCATTAAGTATATCACCATTAAATTGTAGGTTTATGAATAGTTGTTTTTTTCAAGCGGTTACTGCTTCAAGTCTTTTCTCTAATCTGTTCATCTACTTTTTATAAGATTGTAAGGATAACCTATTTCATTTCATGAATACAAAATCCACTACAATCCACTCTGGAGAGTATCATCTGAGCACATTTTCCTTACTGTGGCTTTCAAACACTTCACTAAATTTCTTCCGTATCGTATAGGATTGAAATTAAGGAAGTGTGTATTGACATACGGAATTGTTTCTTTGAACTGACCACTCTTCTCGTCTACTTAATGGGTCATCTAGGAAATGTAGCTTATTGTCCTGTTCTTTTTCACAAGTGAAGGTAAGTGACAGGTGTATGCTGTTAAAATTCCTCAGTAGTTCGTTCTTATCCATATTTTCATCAGCTATAAAAAATATGTCATCCACGTATTTGTGATACATATGTAGCCTATTGATCTCATCCTTCAATGGTCTATTCTCTAATTTGATCAGGTAAAAGTCTGCAAGGATTGGGTCTAGTAGAGACTCTATTATGCTTCCATCCACTTGTCTATAACGTATATTATTGAAAATAAAGTGTACATCTAAGCAGTAATTCCTTAAAAATAGACTAGGAAATTCCAATGTTTATATGTTACTCTATCAACTCAGTGAGTAGCACGTTAGTGAACATTCCTGTTAACCTTTATACTATCCTCATCTATATTATCGTTGACTCATGAATTACCTTGAATAGTTGAAGGTTATGTATATTAGAGTGAAGTCTGATGAAATCTAATTGAAAACAATGCTGTTTGCTTACATGTCTTGTTAAAATAATAACAAGCCTAAACTGAGATTAGTAGGAAAGGCTATGGATACAGACTAGTCAAATTCATTTTCGTCTGCATCGTTCCCAGTCAATAAGTGCCTTGAAGATAAACAATCAGAAATTACCTTCCGTCTCGATATTTATAATTCTCCGTTGTTATACTGGATCGAATTGTTCTATCTCTGTCAGCATACGGGCTCCTATGCGGATGCTCCGATATTGCTTGAATATTTATTATGGTAATTCACTTGATTGTGACTAGCAAAGTTTTCCAGCATCACTCACTTGGGTGTAGGTAAATCAAGCTGACGAGTCACAAATATCGTTGTTTCTTACTCATTTTGTTTTATGACAACTAGACAGCATGTTCACAAAGGTCATCTTGATTACTGTTTTAGCTTTTCACAAGTGTCATTGCAGAGGTGGCTGTCATGTTCCACTGGATTACTGAAAAATGCTTGGACGTTTACGGTAATGGGTACTCAGTTCCAGGTATGTCCTAATATCAAGTACCAAAAAAGACTAAACGCGTATCAAAAGATCCAATGAAAACTGCTTTAAATTCGAAATATACTTCAACATCTAATCGACCATATATGCATCAGTGACTGGTAACTAGCACTTAGTTAATTTACTTGTATAATTAATTTGATGAAGAGAGTATGGTTGAAAACTTCCAGTTCGAAAGGCCTCCGATAGCGTCGACTGAGAAGTAAGTTGGCATTTGCTTCAACACTACAGACTGCCACAAATCTCTATCAACCTCATTCAACATTTATATGACAACGTCACATGTAAAGTGATTCACAATGGAAAACACAGTGACACCTTCGAAGTGAAGACAGGAAGGAGTAAGACAAGGCTGCAGCCTACTATCAACGATCATCTTCCTGATTGTGGTTGACTGGATCATGCAGCAAACCGTGAGGAGCTGTGAGGAGATAGGCATACGCTGGTTGGCTGGCTGGCTGGACCGATGAAAAAATCCCACAAGAAGATCTGGATTTCGACACCGATGACGATTTCTCTCCAATGTCTTGTCACACAAACTCGAAGATCCACGCGCGGAAACCAACAAGTTGATAGAAGAGATGGGTTGAGGCAGGGAAGGAAGACGGGATTTCAGGTGAGTGTAGAGAAGATGGAGGTGATGAAGATACCTAACCAACAACAACAGCAAGCACCAACCACCGTTTATGGGAGAAATCTGAAGGAAGTAGTTCATTTCATCTACACCTACACCTACCTAGTTAGCATCGTTTCAACTACAGGTGGCACAGGTACAGATGACGATGTCAAAGCCAGACAGTATGAGAAAGACAGCAACACAGGCCTTCCTGTAATAATCTGAAACAATCAGTGTAGAGATCTACTGCACTGCACTGAACTGCACTGCATTCCACTCTATTCCATTCAGCATAAGGCGTGAACAAGATCCGGATTCTCAACACAAATGTCAGTCGAGTGAGTCAGTGTTTCTATGTGATGGCTGAGAGACTTGGTGCATTACGAAGAGTATTTCCAACAAACCACAGACATATATCAACAGCTGCTGTCTACTCTCACTTGATACTGAAGAGGAGATGAGATGAGATGAGGTGTCCAGAATAATATGAATATGCAACAAGAAACTTTGAGAACGAACCAACCAACAACCTATCACTCAACAAATATGCAGAAGTGAATGGAGATGGATTGGATTGGATTGTGCATACACTGAGAAGATCGATTGTGGACATCATGCACCAGGCCATGCTGTTGAGTGTAGCCCAAGTAGGAAATGACGAGTTGGGCATCCGATGAGAGGGTGACATGGAGGCGATGGTGTGAGGAATAAGTGGGAGCTTGTGTGTAGTCGTGGGGCCAGTTTGAGAAGACTTCAGGGGAGTTATTGAGGTGGTGAGGTGGCGAAGTGTTACATGAGCTCTATATTTCACTAGGAACCCAAGGGAAAAATAATAATAATTATTATAATTAGAATGCCGACTGAAAATACATTGGCTATAGATATTTTGTTATCATAAAATAGGATAGATTATAATTTAATAATAAAATTTTCTTCAATTACAAGTTATGTAAGATTATTTGTTGGTGCTGTGGTTAGTTGTAAGGAATTTGTAAGGTAACGAGGATTAATTCGGATACTTGATTTGATGCTTTTGTTTAAATTTTCGAATTGACATTTGTATACATCTTTGAACCTGGAATAAAATTAATATAACTTTGAAAAATTTATTCAGAAAATGATGAAATATTAAGGAATAATAACGTAAAATTTATTGATACATCTTTTTAACAATTATTTCATCTCATAATGGTTGCAATGTCATTCCTTTATATGAAACGGAAAGTTTTATTGGGCGTAATAAATGTGCTTCTCACCCCTTAACCTTAACCAAAATACAGATTAATACAGGAACGCCTGTGTTGCTGTCTTTCTCATACTGTCTGGCTTTGACGTCGTCATCTGTATCTGTGCCACCTGTAGTTGAAACTATGCCACCTAGGTAGGTGTAGCTGTAGGTGTAGGTGTAGATGAAATGAACTACTTCCTTCAGATTTCTCCCATAAACGGTGATTGGTGCTTGCTGTTGTTGATGCTGTTGTTGTTGTTGGTTAGGTATCTTCATCAACTCCATCTTCTCTACACTCACTTGAAGTCCCGTCTTCTTTCTCTGCCTCAACCCATCTCTTCTGTCAACTTGTTGGTTTTCGTGCGTGGATCTTCGAGTTTGTGCGACAAGACATTAGAGAGAAATCGTCATCGGTGGCGAAATCCAGATCTTCTCGTGAGATTTTTTCATTGGTCCAGCTAGCCAGCTAGCAGCCAGCCAGCGTATGCCCATCTCCTCACAGCTCCTCATGGTTTGCTACATGATCCAGTCAACCACAATCAGGAAGATGATCGTTGATAGTAGGCTGCAGCCTTGTCTTACTCCTTCCTGTCTTCACTTCGAAGGTGTCACTGAGCTTTCCATTGTGAATCACTTTACATGTGACGTTGTCATATAAATGTTGAATGAAGTTGATAAAGATTTGTAGCCATCTGTAGTGTTGATACAAATACCAACTTACTTCTTAGTCGACGCTGTCGGGGTTCTTTTCAGAGTGGATGAATTTGAGGTAAAGTTGCATTTGATTGCTATTCTATTCTTTGTTCTTTGATGATGTGTGGTGTAGTGTTGCAGTTTGATCCGCACATGATTTGTTTTTCCTGAAGCCAGCCAGTCAGCCTGTTCTGGCTGTCATTTCGAATCCAGAGCATTGTTCTGTTTCTCCAGGATGATACGGCACAATTTTTTGCTTGCTCTATGAGGAGAGTAGCATGATTCCGCGCCAGTCCTTGAAATCATTTAGGTCTACCTTCTTTGGAGGTTTGACAAGGTAGACCTTCTTTTGATCGATAGGCAGGTGCCTTTCCTTCCTTTCAAACCTTCTGCAGTGGTGGGTTGAGCATGTTTGCTGTTGTTTTTGCTTCTGTTTTCAGTGTTTCTGGCGGAATTCTATCCTGTTGTGCTGCTTTCCCGGATTTCAACAACTTTATGTCGTTCAAGACTTCAGCTTCTATCGGACGGCTTATGTTCCCTGGTAGTTCTGTGGCTGGGATGCTGGTGGTATTTCTGGACGAGTTGCAGGTGGTAGTGGTTGTCGATACAAGAGTTTTTTGAAGTTTTCAGCCCATCGTTTCCTTTGTTTCTGCTCTCTGTCTTGTAAATAAGTTTCCTTCACTATCTCTCGCTGGTTTCATCTGAGTTGATCTCTTCCCTCCCAGATATTAACCCGGTTATTTGATATAGTGTTGTCAGGTCTCTGTCTCTCCTACCTGCAGTCTGTTCTTCTTCACTTTCCAATGTATCATAGAAGTGTCTTTTATCTTTGCACGCATTTTTCTCTACTTTTTTGTCCAGTGTACTGTTTAATAGGTTGTGTTTGTTTCCTCTTTTTGTTGTTCATTCCTGCACTGCACTGGTTCATCTTCTGCTTCACCATCTTTCTCTTCCTCTTCTATCAGCTTCCATATGTCCGTTGAGATTCATCCCTGGAATGGTCAAGTTTCTTTTTATTCTTAACACGTCCCTTTCAAAGAGTTCCAGTGTTCTTCCATGCATATTTCTTCAGGGATGTTGCTTAATGTCTCCTATTTTGTCCTGATGACTGAGTTGAAGATGTCCTTTGTAGTTTCGTTCTTCACTTTCTGTTCTGGGTGTTAAACTTGAACTGTGATCTATCACCAGCTCCTTTGAAGGCGGCACTCTTAACTAGACTACATGAAATCAGTTACTTTTCAGTGACCAACAAATGCATAATAATAATTATAGTGGTAATCACTTCATTCGAAACAATTTTTGGTACGGTTTGAGATTCTCAGTAGGATACCTTCAAACAACAACAAAATATAGGTGTGTATACATTTTTCTTTACAACATTTCGAGTTTAGATACATCACAAATAGAGTGGAACGCGTGTCCCACATTCCTCTGCTAGCCGCAACCAAATAAATTTATATAGTGTTATTATAAAAATATGGGATGTAAGGAATATTAATAACCGGGAGATTTCACACTATCGATTAGATTACTGAAATGGGATTGTTAACTCTTACAAAGTTGATATGTGAGTTCTTCCTCTCACATAATACGCGTGCTGGGTAAGGTACAGTCAAATTCTTGTACTTAGTTGTACGAGCTTTTAGAATCTTGTGTAATTTCTTCTTATCCTCCCTGAGGAGATACAAAGACAGAGCTGTGATTGAAGTGGATCCTCACTGTCAGTTAAAATTATTGTAGCTAGTTGCTTGCTGGAATTTAAATGTTTCTCAGCTACATTGTTAATCATTTGGGTTAAAGGCACAGCAGTCACTCTACTGATGGATTTCAAAGCCCTACGAATATAATGTAGTCCATTTTTGGTTTACCAGAAAAGATCAACTGGAAACAATAGAGAAGAATAGATAAAATACAGAGATTGATAAATTGTAAAAGTAGTGGTCAAGTTGTACGAGAAAGACCCAGTTTCTTTATGTAGTATGTTAAGCGGAAGATATTTTACAAGTCAGTAAGACTTGAGACTAGCAGTAAAGATCAGAAGTAAAGCTCAGTCAAAGATAATTAACATTCGATTTATTTTTTGGAGGAATACCATTAATACAACAGTTCATGCAAGTCCTGTTTATGTCTGAGGCTAAAATTAACAATCTAACATTTAAAAGGGTTTAACTTGAGACCATTTGAAAGAGACCATTGATCAATCACAGACAAGAATCCATTTAATTCAAAACAATTTAAGTGAGAGTAAAGTGGAAAAGAAACAGTCAGGTCATACTTAATGAAACTAGTTTCAATGGAACACGATAAATTATCCAAAAAAGAAAGAGAACAGAAACGGAGAGAGTACTGCACGTTGAGGCATACCAGCTTCAGTAAGCAATGAAGTGGAGCACCTCCCTTTATAGACACTGTACGATTTCTTTTCAGAAAAAGAAAAATACAGCCAATTTGTAATTCATTACCCAGTATAAGGTATGATAAGCTGTTTTAACAAGAGTGGTGTAGGAACGGAGTCAAAGGCTGATGAGTAATCCGGAAAGGTATAACGAACATACTTAGCACCTTTGTCTAGACCAGAAACAGTATTATGATGCAAGACAGTGATAGAATCTAAAGTACTTCTCCTGTGTTTGTAAGCAAACTGTTTTGGATCTCTGAAAGCCATCATGAAGGCTCAATCACAAGGAGAAGTAATCTCCCTATTGTCTTCAGAAAAGGGGAAATTATAATAATGGATTGAAACGTAACATCTGATCTAGAAGTTGACTTAGGAACAGGTAAAAATTTGATCTCGTTCCAAGCAGTGGATATTATGTTTTTAGAAAACGATGCATTGAAGATATCTGTAAGTGGATGACATAAAATATCTGCACATTTTCTAAATATAATACTCCAAACACCATTAGGACCTAAGCTTTGGGATAGATTCAAGGATTTTAGACGTTTAAATAGGTTATCTGTATTGAAACCCCGAAAGGACCCATTCATTTAACTGTAGACACTAATAAAGATGAAATCAGCTTGCCAACGTATGAATCGTGACTGGAGTGGCTTAATGACAACTTTGTTGTTGGTGAAACAGAAGAACGCCGGTTTGAATCTCAGAGGTGACATCAATCCCTTTGATGTTTCCTATACGACTTACTGACGAGTGTCAGTTAACATAAAACTTAGCTCAGGTAGGGATTTCTGTCAATAGCCTCCAACCCTCTTACACAAACTAAAGCATATTATTACAATAAATACAACCCAACTGAAACCCTTTACAGTCTCAGCCTAGAATATGTTTTCTTCCTGTAAATGATCACATTCTAAGCTTAGAGTATTTACATCTTTATACAGTCTAGTTTTCGAATACACTTTCAAGTGTGACTCAAAATTATATTCTGCTAAACGTTTTGTTAAATATAACATTTGTAATACAAATTATTCTCGATTTTTGAATCATGGATATATTACTGTTGAAATTATTTGAGATAACTATGGTTCGACATAATGCTGATATTGACATACCGGTGATGATTGAAGGTAACATGAAAATCTAGACCAGAGGTGGATTCAAACCAGCGACCATCAAGTTTACGACACGATGCTCTACTAACTGAGCCACGATGTTCCACTGCCGACCAGATTTTTATTTCACTTCAATCATCATGGGTTTTACCCAACTACTATGTGAATTCGTGACTCCTTACTACCGCTTGTTCTTATTTACATCAGCTACCTAATCAGGACTTCTTATCCCAATCCAAATTTAAGTGAATTAGGGAGAGGATGGGATCATATTGATTATCATTTTGACAAAACTCATAGTGACTGAAATGAAATAAAAATTTCGTCAGCAGAGTCCCTCGTAGCTCAGTTGGCACAGCATCAGGCTGGAAACTCGATTGGTCGCTGTTTCAAATCCAGTCGCGGTCCAAATTTTCATTTAACCTTCAATCATCACCCAGTATAAATACTAGTCTACCGATATATATATATATATATATATATATATATATATATATATATATCGATATGAAAACTAGTGTTTACAAAAGTGCTTAGCAATTAGGTAAATTGAGTGTTTAATTCCTCTTTAGTTTTGCTCCACAGGAGATGAATATACTAGAAGAGGTTCATGTGACTGTCCATTATTTTTACACTGACAA